GAGAAGACTTGAGAATCCCTTGGACAGCGAGGAGATTAAATCAGCTAATCCTAAAGGAAATAAATGCTGAATATTCTTGGAAGGACTGGTGCTGAACCTGAAGCTCCAATACTTTGGCCACCTGATGTGAAGAGTTGACTCATTTAAAAAGACCCTGATGTGGGAACGATTGAAGGCCAAAGGAGAAGGCGATGGAGAATGAGATTGTTAGATGGCATTAATTGATTCAATGGACATAAACTCTGAGCAAACTCTAGGAGAAGTGAAGGACAGAGGAGTCTGGCGTATACCAATCCATGGGGTTGCAAAGAGTTGGACACAACTTAGCAACTGAACAGCAACTTCGAAATTTTGAGGAAGAACCAGGAAGTAGTTGGAGGAGAAATGACCAGTGAGAAAACCTGGAAGGATTGGAGTAACAGAAACAAAGAGAAGGGAGGAATTGATGTTGGCAAATAGTACTGGAAGGTAGAATAAGATAAGAGCAGAGAAAAGCTGTCATGTTGGAGAAGACTCTTGAGAGTCCCTTGGACTGCAAGGAGATCCAGCCAGTCCACCCTAAAGGAAATCAGTCCTGAATATTCATTGGAAGGACTGATGCTGAAGCTGAAACTCCAGTACTTTGGCCACATGATGTGAAGAACTGACTCACTGGAAAAGGTCCTGATGCTAGGAAATATTGAAGGCGGGAGGAGAAGGGGATGATAGAGGATGAGATGGTTGGATGGCCTCACTGACTCAATGGACATGAGTTTGAGCAAGCTTTGGTAGTTGGTGATGGACAGGGAAGCCTGGTGTGCTGCAGGCCATGGGGTCATAAAGAGTCAGACATGACTGAGTGACTGAACTGAACTGAACTGAGAGAAAAGCCCATTGAATTTGGCAGCTCTGATGCTGATACTTTAATATAGATGATTGGTTAATTTTTTGCTTTTTAAACTGTTCATTGAAAATGTGACCTAATAAGTTAAAGTCTGTTATGATATTGTTATATAATCAATTAGAAAATTTTAGATACTTTTTTGGTACATGAAAATTATTTTCATAAATATCTGGCTTTATATTATTTAATGACTAATTCTTGAGAATTATAATTGTCTCCAAGGGTATGGTCCAAGGGTAGTCTAAGGAGGCTCCTGAATTCAGCAGATTTTAAATGGTGGAACTTTTTCAGGCTTCATGGAAAGAGAAATAATTTTGAAAAATTGAACCATTTAGCATACATCTCACATTATATCAGGTGGCAGTCTTGGATTTTACCTAAACAAAAGTCAGTTCTCTTCACAGACTCAGTCTGATAATAACAATACAAACACATATAAGAAGGCTGAACTAGTATAAGTATATATTAATAAAAGAGCATTTATGTGTGCTAATGCATCTCTAAAAGAAGTTTTATTGGATTAAAGTGAAAAACCTGAATTATATTTCAAAATACATTTGGTGATGAAAGAGAATTGTGTTAGAGGCAATTACCTGTCACTTTCTTTTGAAGGTGTGACTTGAAGATATCTTAGAGCCATACAGAAGAAGTTGTCTGGAAGTTCTGCCTCATAGCTAATGTGGCAATGAAGGTGACAGCTGCAGACTCTCTTTAGATGACCTGGGGCCCGCAGAATGTCTTCTTCATTCCTTATTAAACAGGGCACAGAACAAACACCCAACTCAGACGAAAGGGAGGCCAGTGTCCGTGGATCCAACACTTCCCTCTGTCTAGTGAACTCTTGAATTCCTGAACCCTCTGTTTCTGAATTCTTTAGTTACTGCTGCTATGAGGGCATGATGGTACAAACATATTCTTTTTTGTGTGTGTGCTCTCTCAGATTACAAATAAAACTGAATTTCCCTTTTTCTTTATTGTCAAGTAAGCTTGAACAGTAAGTAGCATTGAAAGCTCTCTCCTTCTCTTTAGGTGTTAGCTACACTTCCAAATTTATAATTGCTAACACTTAAACACAGAGCACGACACAAACCTGTTTCAAGCTGCTGACAATTGATTGTTTCAGACAACTGGATTCAGTACTTGGTTTTCATTCTGAAGGCTCTGCTTCCTGAAACACATGAGCTCTTTGTAGCATCTTTCTGAATTCAAAGTCAAGTCTTAAAATGTCTAAAATGTATAAAAACCAACATACATACTCACATATTTTAATTATCATGGCTTTTGTGTTTCTATAGCCAGATTGGGATAAATTATTCCAAATTGTCCTATTCAATTCAGTCCTACATTTAGTTTATGAATAAATGAATGCTTCCGTAAGAAACAAGAGGAGTGGTATATGATTTTGGACCTGACCTTGTAGAAAGGGCTTTGCATGGTTCAAACAGGAGGCAAAAGAATTTATAAACCGTGTTTTTATTGTTAATCTGAAAACTTTGACATTTGAGGTGGGATATTTATACAAAGAGAGAATGTGCTGGTAATTCAGTTCCCTAATCTGCAGTCTTTTACTGCATGATTGAGTAGGGGAGCAGAGCTGATCACTGTTTAGGTATATGGATAGGTTAGGCAAAGGATAGAGAATAGGCTTGTTTAGGGCATCAGCAAAAGAATCATCTGCCTTCACTATTGAAAAGAGAATTCTAAACTTTGTAAGTGGAACATTTAAACAGAGGGAATTTTAATTTTAGTGTATATGTGATTTTTGTGTCACTTTGAAAAATTACATGTGAAGTATCTAATCTCTTCAATGTTTATTTAGGTCTCTGAAGAGCCTAACATGACCCTTGATTGGCAGATGGTAGTCCTCTATGTGAAATTTGGAGGTATCTCAAGGGTATCTTACCAAAAAATATCTAACATGAAGATTTTCCAATTTAGATTTTATCTTCCAAGTGTAAAGAAGTGGAGAACTTGTTTGCCTGCTTTCTAATCTGTCTGTTGGTGGGGGAGGGATGGGGAGCTTCAGATTCTCATGAAAATAATAAATAGGGAAGGGACTGTGATAATGTTACATTCCTAATACTCTAGACTTAGTATGTATTTAATATAGAGTATATGAAACATTTTTTTTGATAGTTGAGGTTAAAGAATGTTAGATGAGGTAGATATCATTTAGAGAGTCAGATGACTTAAATATGATTTTATGTATGTGATTGCCATGGTAACACGTAGTTATTTTAGGAATTTTGTGAATCTGTAAAAGGTAAAAGAATAAAATAAAAGCAATGCATTCAACTACTCTGAGGTGCTTGTTGTTAATTAATATCTATGTGTCTATATGTATAATTGAAATCATATTTGTAGCTGTATGTGTATCTAGATATGCTGCTTAGATTCCCCTAATTATGACATACTTTTTGATAGTTAGAGAATATTTAAGGGACTTCCCTGGTAGTCAAGTGGTTAAGAATCTGCCTTCCAATGCAGGGGACTCAGGTTCGATCCCTGGTTGGGGAACTAAGATCCCACATGCTGTGGGGGCAATTGAGCCCATGCCCTGCACTAGAGAAGCCTGCCTGCTGCAATTAAGACCCCCCACACAGTCAAAAGGAAGTAAATATTTAAAAAAATATTTAAAACTTTTTTCTTTTTGATTTTTTTTTACATTTGTGCTGTAACTATAACCAAGCTTAATTTTTTTTTTTTTTTTTTTTTTTTTACCATGAATGCATGTATGCTAAGAAGCTTTGGGCTGTGTCTGATTCTTTGTGACTCTAGTCACTGTAGCCTGCTAGGTTCCTCTGTCCATGGGATTCTCCAGGCAAGAATACTGGAATGGGTTGCCACTTCCTCCTCCATTTTTTACTATAATGCCTAATATTAATCATGCTAGCATGATTAGGGCTTCAATAAATTATGATGTGTTTATGGATGACTTTTTTCCAGTATAATTTTAGTTTGGCTTTTAATGCTCAAGAAGTATATTAATCACTATACAGACTTGCTTTACAGTAAACTTTGTTGAGTAACTCGTTTGCTACTGCAGGGCTATCTCAGGTCAGAGCACTTACAGTTGGGATTCTGGCATGACTTAATGCCTTTTGTCATTCTGTGCTTTGATTTTTTGATAACTGGTTCAGCTTCAGGTTTGTAGCTTAAGAATCATTTACTTATAGAATGAAATTTGCTTTGCTACTTTATGATTCTGATCACTTGATTCACTAATTACTTTCCTTATTAAGGTCCTTATCTTTTCCATGCAGTCATAGATGGAAAGATGTCAAATGCCCCACAATTGCACTTTAATTGAATTGTGGGTTAAAAGGAAAAGCAGGGTCATTTTAGGCCTTTATGGGTAAAAATTAAAATGAACAAAGTTCTGGGAAAGAGAACAAAAGAACAATAATATAAGCATTTATGGTCTTTATGAAATTGAAAAGGAAAGACTGTTTCAGAAAACAATTCAATCAAACTGTGAGACATGAGATAAGCTCTTTAGAGGCTGACAGTTATTGCAATTCTCAGACAATTCAATTTTAGTTAGGAATAAATGGTGAACCTGTTGGTTTTGTCACATAAAATACAAATGGGCAGAATATTCTATGATGCTCTTCCTGGGTGGATTTCAAACAACAGTAAAAACTTCTCAAGAAATGTAGTATAAAACTGGATTTTAAAATTCATGCTCTCTTAGAGTGCACATCTGTGTTCCAACAATTTAGCTAATCTATATTAGAATGTAATAACTTGAGTCAACAAGCCTGATGATTGCATTATAAGTGCAATCACACAGTGATAAAGAGACATGACATTTGACTTTTTTGTGAAATAGAGTCCTACTTTTCCATAGACCAGATAAAAGTCAACTAACAAGAATATATTTTTTAACAGACATTTTCCTCTCAATGATTTCTTTCCCATCTGCCAATTATAATTTTCTATTTAATTTCTGTGCATTTTATTCCTTTAATTGATTAGCTTTAACTGAAGGAAAAGGTTTTCATGTAATTTCTCGGAACCCCATGATATATTTTAATGATTGAAATATAACACAAGTAGAACACAGACAGCAAGATCAGGAGTCACCTCTGCTCTCTTTCTTTTCCCTTCCTCCCAGTTTTCACATGTTTCTCCAACTGCACTGCGTGGGGAGAAAACTAGATCCTCAGGCCTGGAACAAATTAGCTTCAGGACGATGTGGGAGCTTCCTGGAGACCTGAGACTGCATAAGAATCATTTAACTTGAAAACAAGATCAGAAAATAAGAAAACAAGGTAGGAATTTTCAGACTATTTTAAACATGGAAATGTAATTTTTACCCCCTTTTCAACTCAATGTGCTAGATGGATGTGAAACAAATATTTTCCCTTGCTTCCAGGGAGGGTTTGGAGATTAAACCTTCCCTGCTCATGAAGACAGCTAGCTGTTTGGTAGCTAAATTGTGTGTTCAACACCTATTCAATGGCTATTTATCAAGTGGTCTATTACAGATCAGGTATTATTCTAGATGCTAATTTACACTTTATGTATACAAATAAAAAAATCTATAGGAAGAAATTGTATAGGAAGAACTATACAATTAAAAATATAAATATCTGATTTTTAAAAAATTGCTATGTAGAAAGCAATGCAAGTAAAGGAATGAAAGTTGAGGGCTTGGGGTTCTTTTGGGGGAGGAAATGATTTTAGTTATGATTTAGGCTTTAGGTTTAATCAGCCACTGTCTTAGTCTGTTCAGTCTTAGGACTCTGGGTGTGGTAGACCTGGGTATGGCATAAGCCTTCTTGGAGTAGGTTGCCATTAACCCACCATAGAGCTGTCAGAACTTATACAGGACTGGGAAAACAGACTCTGGGAGGGCACAAACAGAACCTTGTGCACACCAGGACCCAGGAGAAAGGAGCAGTGACCTCACAAGAGACTGACCCAGACTTGCCCGTGAGTGTCCAGGAGTCTCTGGCAGAGGCGTGGGTCGGCGGTGGCCTGCTGCAGGGCTGGGGGCTCTGAACGTAGCAGTGCCTGCATGGGACCTTTTGAAGGAGGTTGTCATTATCTTCATTACCTCCACCATAGTTTGGCCTCAGGTCATATAACAGAGAGGGAACACAGCCCTGCCCTTCAACAGAAAATTGGGTTAAAGATTTACTGAGCATGAGATTTACTGCCCATCAGAACAAGACCCAGTTTCCCCCTCAGTCAGTCTCCCCCATCAGGAAGCTTCCATAAACCTCTTATCCTTCTCTGAGGGCAGACAGACTGAAAACCACAATCATAGAAAACTAACCAATCTGATTACATGGTCCACAGCCTTGTCTAACTCAGTGAAGCTATGTGCCATGCCATGTAGGGCCACCCAAGACGGACAGGTCATGATGGAGAGTTCTGACAAAACGTGGTCCACTGGAGAACAGAATGGCAAACCGCTTCAGTATTCTTGCCTTAGAACCCCATGAACAATATGAAAAGGCAAAAAGATAGGACACTGAAAGATGAACTCTCCAGGTCAGTAGGTATCCAATATGCTACTGGAGATCAGTGGAGAAATAACTCCAGAAAGAATGGAGAGATGGAGCCAAAGCAAAAACAATAATACCCAGTTGTGGATGTGACTGGTGATGGAAGTAAAGAGCAATATTGCATAGGAACCTGGAATGTCAGGTCCATGAATCAAGGCGAATTGAAAGTGGTCAAACAGGAGATGGCAAGGGTGAACATCAACATTCTAGGAATCAGCAAACTAAGATGGACTGGAAAGGGTGAATTTAACTCAGATGATCATTATATATACTACTGTGGGCAAGAATCCCTTAGAAGAAATGGAGTAGCCATCATAGTCCACAAAAGAAATGCAGTACTTGGATGCAATCTCAAAAATGACAGAATGATCTCTGTTTCCAAGGCAAACCATTCAATATCACAGTAATCCAAGTCTATGCCCTGACCAGTAATGCTGAAGAAGTTGAAGTTGAACCGTTCTATGAAGACCTACAAGAACTTCTAGAACTAACACCCAAAAAAGATGTCCTTTTCATTGTAGGGGACTGGAATGCAAAAGTAGGAAGTCAAGAAATACCTGCAGTAACAGGCAAATTTGGCCTTGGAGTACAGAATGAAGGAGGGCAAAGGCTAACAGTTTTGCCAAGAGAACGCACTGGTCATAGCAAACACGCTCTTCCAACAACACAAAAGAAGACTCTACAGATGGACATCACCAGATGGTCAACACTGAAATCAGATTGATTACATTCGTTGTAGCCAAAGATGGAGAAGCTCTATACAGTCAGCAAAAACAAGCCCAGGAACTGACTGTGGCTCAGATCATGAACTCCTTATTGCCACATTCAGACTTAAATTGAAGAAACTAGGGAAAACCACTAGACCATTCAGGTGTGACCTAAATCAAATCCCTTATGACTATACAGTGGAAGGGACAAATAGATTCAAGGGTTAGATCTGATAGACAGAGGGCCTGAAGAACTATGGACGGAGGTTTGTGACATTGCACAGGAGACAGTGATCAAGACCCTCCCCAAGAAAAGAAATGCCAAAAGGCAAAATGGTTGCCTGAGGAGGCCTTACAAACAGCTATGAAAAGAAGAGAAGTGAAAGGCAAAGGAGAAAAGGAAAGATATACTTATTTGAATGCAGAGCTACAAAGAATAGCAAGGAGAGATAAAAAAGCCTTCCTCAGTGGTCAGTGCAAAGAAATGGAGGAAAACAATAGAATGGGAAAGACTAGAGATCTCTTCAAGAAAATTAGAGATACCAAGGGAACTTTTCATGCAAAGATGGGCACAATAAAGGACAGAAATGGTATGAACCTAGCAGAAGCAGAAGATATTAAGAAGGGGTGGCAAGAATACACAGAAGAACTATACAAAAAAGATCTTCATGACCCAGATAATCATGATGGTGTGATCCCTCACCTAGAGTCAGACATCCTGGAATGCAAACTCAAGTGGGCCTTAGGAAGCATCACTATGAACAAATTTAGTGGAGGTGATGGAATTCCAGTTGTGCTATTTCAAATCCTGATAGATGATGCTGTTAAAGTGCTACACTCAATATGCCAGTAAGTTTGGAAAACTCAGCAGTGGCCACAGGACTGGAAAAGGTCAGTTTTCATTCCAATCCCAAAGAAAGAATGTTCAAACTATTGCACATTTGCAGTCATCTCACACACTAGCAAAGTAATGCTCAAAATTGTCCAAGCCAGGCTTTAACAGTACATGAAGCATGAACTTCCAGATGTTCAAGCTGGATTTAGAAAAGGCAGAGGAACCAGTGATCAAATTGTTAACATCCATTGGATCATTGAAAAAGCAAGAGAGTTCCAGCAAAACATCTACTTCTGCCTTATTGACTTTGCCAAAGCCTTTGACTGTGTGGATCACAACAAACTATGGAAAATTCTTCAAGAGAGGGGAATACCAGACTGCCTTACCTGCCTCCTGTGAAATCCATATGCAGGTCAAGAAGCAACAGTTAGAACTTTACATGGAACAACAGACTGTTTCCAAATAGGGAAAGGGATGTATGTCAAGGCTGTATCTTGTCACCCTACTTATTTAACTTATATGCAGAGTACATCATGAGAAATGCTGGACTGGATGAAGCACAAGGTGGGATCAAGATTGCCGGGAGAAATATCAATAATCTCAGATATGCAGATGACACCACCCTTATGGCAGAAAGTGCAGAAGAGCTAAAGAGCCTCTTGATGAAAGTGAAAGAGGAGAGTGAAAAATTGGCTTAAAATTCAACATTCAGAAAACTAAGATCATGGCATCTAGTCCCATCACTTCATGGCAAATAGATGGGGAAACAGAGGAAACAGTGACAGACTTTATTTTTTGGGCTCCAAAATCACTGCAGATGGTGATTGCAGCCATGAAATTAAAAGACACTTGCTCCTTGGTAGAAAAGTTATGACTAACCTAGAGAGCTTATTAAAAAGCAGAGACATTACTTTGCCAACAAAGATCCATCTAGTCAAAGCTATGGTTTCTCCTGTATGGATGTGAGATCCATCTAGTCAAAGCTATGGTTTCTCATGTATGGATGTGAGAGTCGGACTATAAAGAAAGCTGAGCACTGAAGAATTGATGCTTTTGAACTGTTTTGTTGGAGAAGATTCTTGAGAGTCCCTTGGACAGCAAGGAGATCCAACCAGTCCATCCTAAAGGAGATCAGTCCTGGGTGCTCATTGGAAGGACTGATGCTGAAGCTGAAACTTTGGTCACCTGATGTGAAGAACTGACTCATTTGAAAAGACCCTGATGCTGGGAAAGATTGAATGTGGGAGGAGAAGCAGATGACAGAAGATGAGATGGTTGAACGGCATCACTGACTCAATGGACACGAGTTTGAGTAAACTTTGGGAGTTGGTGATGGACAGGGAGGCCTGGCCTGCTGCAGTCCATGGGGTCGCAAAGAGTTGGACACGACTGAGCAACTGAACTGAACTGAACTAGGCTTTGGGTTTAATCAGTCACTGTCTTAGTCTGTTCAGGCTGCCATAACACAAATACCATCAACTGAGTGGTTTATAGACAACAAACATTATTTTTCAAGGTTTTGGAGGCTGGGGAGTTCAAGGTCATGGCACTGACAGATTTGTTGTCTGGTAAGAGACTGCTTCCTAGATGGCTGTCTTTTTGCTATATGCCACACAGTAGAAGTGGCCAGGGAGCCCCGTAGATATTCTTTCTTAAGAGCTAAATTCCATTCATGCGGGTTCCACTCTCACAACTTTATCATGTCTCAAAGGCCCCCAGTTCCTAATATCATCACACAGGGTATTAAGTTTCAACATATGAGTTTTGGGAGGGTAGGAGGTGGGGAGAAGAGGAGGTGGGAAGGTACAGACTATAGCAGCCACTGAAGTGTTTTTTTTTGAGGAGGGATGATAGGGTCTGTGGGAAGAGGCAGGCTGGATGGAGCGTGGGGGCACCATCTGAGACCAAAGGGGGAAAGAGACCTGTGGGTATAATCTGTAGGGCTACCACTCTTGGCGCTATCTCAAAATGTAGCCAGACCAGAGAGTACGAACAGAAGGTAGCATCAAGTGCTGGGTTTTCCGCCTTAGTAGACTCTCATGTATCACTTGTAGCAATAAAGCTGGAGAGGTCTGTTGGACTTGAAGGAAACCATGAAGATTAGCTCACAGGCATGACTTGTTTGGGCAGATGCCCAGTGGGCAGAGTGCCCTTCCTTCTACTTTGGTGTTAGGTAAGAGCATGGTGCATTGGCTCAGCTCTGGGAGTGTGTGTGT